TTTTAAAAAGGTTTCAAAAATAAATCAAAGTCTATTAAATTCGGATTTGAGCAAAAATGCTAAAGGGTGTCAAAGTGCATCCATGCACCCTGTAGTGCATCTATGCACCTGCAGTGCATCCATGCACTGTGCATCGATGCACCATGTACTATATCCATGCATTCAAACACCGAATACAATTAGTGCATCGATGCACCTGTTGTGCATTCATGCACCATGGCTGCAACGGCTAGTTTATTTGAATTTAATGAAGGGGTAACGATGCACCTTAATGGTATACTGATGCACCCTGTTATGGGCAGCCTTTTTGAGTAGAAAAACCATCCCCAAACGACTCCAAAACATCCCCAACGGTTATATACGACTTCAAACACATTCCAAGCTATAAATACAAGCTAAGGACACTTGAAGAAGAAAGAGAACAACCATCCAAGCAATCAAACATAAGAGAAGAGCTTTTTATTCTTATTTTCCTTTCTCTTGTAAATATTTGTTCTTGTGAGCTAAATTCTTGTAAACACCTACCTTTGAGAGGTTTATTTGTTTACTTCTTTTATCCTTTTGTAAAGGGGAAAGATTCTAGTTTATCCCATAAAAAACTAGGGAGTTGTAAATGTTATCTCTTTGTCCTTGAAAAAGAAAGAACAAATTAGTGAATTTGTTGGAAAATCCTTGGTGATGAGCTAAGGTTGTGAATGTAGACTTGGTTGAGAAGTCGAACCACTATAAATCGCTGTGCAATTCTCTATCTTTCAATCTCCTTATTCCCTAAACACAAAAACCGTTCCGACCCCTCTTGGCGAACCGTTTCGGTTGTCAATTCGAGCTTCCAAAAATCCCAACACTCTGGTTCTATTAGAGGAGTCTGTAATCACCATTTTTGTTCGTTTGATTAATGGTATTATTATTAATAATAAACAAAAAAACCAAAAAAATATTATTATTATCAAATAAAAATTTTCGTAAGCTCAAATACAACAGTGGCCCACACGTGAAAAAGACGAACCAGGGTTTCACCTTTTCGTTCTTCAGTCGCAGCCATGTCAAATCAATCCAAAGTTAGGATTTCACCCTAAACTTCTATCGAGCTGCTGTCGTCACTCGCCCTCTCTCTGCCCACGTGAGATGCACGTTCTTGCCTCACCGATTCCCCATGCACATCTGGTGACGTCACCGTCATCGAGAAATTTATCGGTCACCGCAGATATCGAAAATAGGCCTCAAGGTAAAAAAGGATACCTTGTACTTTTGTTGAAGTTACGGCCATCTATACCCAGCTTTGCCCCGTCGTGTCCCCCCTCCTCAAACAAACCATAAAGCCGACTAAACCAGAAAACACAAAAAGAAGAAAAAGCAAAGATCAAACCCCATTTCTGGTAACATGCAACATGAGAAATGAAACAAAAAGAAAGGTCTTCTATATATTCAGGACTTTCTGAAGAAAAAATGAGAGAGCAACTAGGGACTTTCGAAAAAAACCAAAAATAAGGAAAGGGAGAGATTCTTACCTTCAAAGGCGTCAGTTTTCTCTCGTCGGAGCATGAAAGTCACCTTCTTCGAAGTAAGGCTATGTATGTTGTTAGATCTAAAAAATAGGGTTTGGGTTCTTTTAAAAAATGGTGTTTGGTTTTTTTTTTAGATTTTGAGGGGTTAAAGGTTGTTTTGGTTCAAGGTAGCATCGTTTTTTGATTTCGCCATAAAGGGTCATTTATATCGCAGTCCATCGTGGGCGGTGGTCGGAGTGGGGTTTCGGTTTATCTCTACGACGGAGAGAGGGTGAAGGAGAGGAGAGAGTTGAGAGAACTGTTCAGTTCTCTTTTTGACAAAAAAAAGAGTGAAATGAACAAATGAGAGAGCTAGGGCCATTTCCAACCATGTTTTGACCTTATATACTCCCATCTAAACGACGTCGTTTAAGGGTAGAGGGACGCATGTTTTAGTGCATAGAACATCCTCGATTTCAGTCATCCGAGTTTTGTAAAATTACAATCTAGTCACTAAATGCATGATTGGTTTATTTTGAATTTAAGCCTTTAATTTTCATTTTGTTTCGTTCTAGTCAATATCCATGCTTTAATATGTTTTGGTTGAATTTCCGATTTGATTATTTAAATTTCATATTCATCACTGTTTAGTCCTTAAAACTATCATGCGTATAAGATGAGTAATTTACAGCCTAAATTCCTTCAGTCTTGTTGAATGTCTATTTTGGCCATTAATTAATATAATTAACATTAAATTAAATATGAATTATTTACTGATGAGTCCCTATAGTTCTAGTTAAATTTTGATTTAGTGTATTAATTTTATTTTTATAAGTTGATACACTTGATGTAAATATTTTATTAAAATGGTCAAATTCTTTTAGATTAAATAATAATGACCACTAATTTCCACTTATACTTGTTTCCATTTTAAGAACGAACTTCATAGAATGGCGTGAAAAGTATAACATATCGAGGTAGTACGATTCAATATGACATTTGAGCGAAAAACGAACTTTAAATAATAGAGTATGTTTTGATAAAAATGATGAAATAAATTTTAAATCACCAGTTCATTATTTCATGACAATGTGTTTGTTTATTTTAGCCTGTTGTTTAATTTAATTTTTTAATTTATATTCAATTCATTGTTTAAGGTGACATTAAATTAGTCAATGATTCAATAAAAAGGACCACACTTTAAATTTCGACTCGAATCTATAAATTCCACTACGACAACATTAAACGATCATGTACTAATTTTGGGCGTTGTATGGATGCTAATCATTCCCCACACATAACCAACTCTCGAACCCTTAAAATAAATTTATGATAAAACATAGGCCCATTTTTATCTTTTTAAAATATTTTTTCTTAAAATTGTTTTAAAATACGTTTTTAGGTATTCGACCTACCTAACCCAAAGGTCGATGACGACTCCCATCATCTTTTCATAAAATTTGATACTAAATTTTTATTCGTTAAAAAATGGTGTCGATAGAGTCATTCGAGACTACGTATGTAACTAGGTTGTTGGATTTCAAAGAGTTGTTGGAATTACATCTTTCTTCTCCCCCGTTGTTTCTGCATGATATTCTTAGTCGTGACGTGAGAGGTCATCCATACTATAAAACAACTTCAGTGTAGTTTCCATGGCTAATGTTTTTTAATAAAAAAAATAACGACATCCATAATAGTTATAAAATATTTACACAAAGCTAGACATCTGTGAATTTTTAAAAAAAATTAAAATAAACCAAAATTTAATAGAATTTATAGATCAATACGTAAATAAGGGTCTTATAAATACATAAACCCTCTAATTTAAATAGAATGTACATTGACAGTACTCCTCAAACAAGTCCAAACTACTAACTTACAAACGAAAACATTCGAGCAATAAGCTTTACGAAGTTCAGTGGTACACTTCTACTCTATTATACTTCGTATTCATAAACTTAAACATTCTTAGTAGAATAAGCAAAGAGCAACCCAATATCACAAAGCATTGGTACAACTCCCACCAATAACATAATATATAATTGTTTGATCTCACGTAGACATAGTTTCTAGAGGGACTCAGTCTTACATATCATCGGTAGAAAATCTCATAGCTATAAGAAGGGTTTTTCAAGTCTCACATAACATTAGGTTAAGCATGCATATATATCCGACATACAACAATGCCCATGGGTCATGCACATCAACATTTGCCATATAAGGCCAATCAATATAGTTTTACAACATAAGCATCATTTCACAATCAATCACATAAAGACATTTCCTCTTACATCACTATGTGACCCCTGATCTCTCTTAGAATGTAACGTTATGCAAAGGTATATTATAACTTCAATGACTTGTGAAGTTTGACAATCAAACATTCCATTCTTTTCACATAACATATTACTAGGCTTGAGGTGGCTTACACATTATCATTTTGATGCTTGCTTTCATTATTAGAGTGCTTCTATAATTTTATTCACTTAAGGGTATTTTGGTAATTTGATACATTAGACATCCCCTTTAGAGTTGTCATTTTATTTTGAGTTATCCCTCAATCTCAAGAACCTATTTGAAGTTAAACTTTGATACCCTTGGGTATCAATACTATGGGTATAATTGCAAATGAGCAATAGTTATACCTTAAGAATAGATATCGATACCCTTAAATTACCCAAATTTCTATTGCACATTAATACTATACGGTATCGGTATCGGTATCGATACCAAAACCTAGAAATAACTATTTTTAAGCTTAAAAATCACTCCAAAAATGCTCTAAACATTCTAGTTTAATATCAATCTTACTCATGTCTAGCAACAAAAGCATCAAACTAGCATAATTTTCATAATTAAATTGTGCAATGGAGTAATTTATAAAATGAGAAGGAAAAAAATTAATAGCATAATTAAATTCTTTCTATCATATAATTATTTTTCAATTAATTTCATTAAATTAAAAAAATAATATTCAGTCATAAAAATGAAATGATAATAGCATAATTTTTCAATCATATAAATTTTTTTCTTGTAAAGTAAAGCAATAAAGTTAAAGAGAAATTAAAGGAGAAAAAAAAGGAAAGGAAGAAAAAACTCAAACCAGCTTCTACCATCAATCGAAAAAAGGTAAATTTTATGTCTAATATCTTAACTATTACTTTTGTTCTGTTTGAGTCACTTAATTTTTATTTTTCCAAATCATAATCGATATTACAGTTTGGTTTCATTTCGGTCACCACAGTTAAAAAATTAACAAAACTACTGATGTGGTATTTTTAAAAGAAATCAATGATGGTGTGTCATTACCTTATGGTGACACATCAGCATCACTTTAATTTTTTTAACGATGGGTGACCAAAAATAATATTTAGGTAACCAAAACGGAATAAACATGATAGTTATAGTACTAAACGTGTAGTTTACCAAAACAAAGAAGCAAAGGGCATAGAAGTAATTGCCAGCGTACCACCATAGCTAAAGAAAGCCCCATTTCTACCCTTCCAAAGCTCACCCCTTGAGAGAGAGAAACTTCGCTTCTTCTCCTCGTTCACCTCCTCTTCTTCTTCTTCTTCTTCTTCTTCTTCTTCTTCTTCTTCTTCAACTCTACTCTGCCAAAGCTTTGAAAAAAATTAGCTTCTTCTGAGTGATGGGTGTGAGCTGCCGTTGTTCCCACACCTCCCACATCACCGAAATCATCATCACCAGCTTCTTTCGTCACAAGTGAAGGAATTTGTATTCCTTTAAAAACAAAGAAACCCAGAGTGGTTTTTCTTTCCTTTTTTCCTTTTTCGTTAGCTTCTTTAGATCATTTGATGATGAAAAAGATGATATCTTGAACAAGAACAAGATTGATCCTTTAGCTTGAAACATTAATGGCGGGTAGGAGGGTCTATTCTAGTAATAGTAGTAACAGTGATCTCTCTGTTTTGCTCCAAAGTCAAAGGGTTGAGCCTTTCGATCCCCTCTTCCTTCAAGGCTCGAATTCTTTCCTTTCTTCAGGCGCGAGATCGATGTTGAGCTTCGAAGATGTTCATCGAGCCAACAGATCGTTCTTCAGAACGTTTGATCAGGAAGAGAACGGGGACGACGATGATTTAGACGAGTATTTTCATCAACCCGAAAAGAAGAGACGCCTCACCGTTGAACAAGTCCAGTTTCTCGAGAAAAGTTTCGAGGTGGAAAACAAACTCGAACCCGACAGGAAAATTCAGCTGGCTAAAGACCTCGGCTTGCGGCCCCGACAAGTGGCCATATGGTTTCAGAACCGAAGGGCTCGATGGAAGACGAAGCAGCTCGAGAAAGACTATGACGCTTTACAAGCAAACTTCAACAGCCTCAAGGCCGACTATGATAATCTTCTCAAGGAGAAGGATAAACTAAAACAAGAGGTACTTATTTAAAGTTTTAAGTTTTAAACATGTTGGGTCGATTTTTCATGTTTCACTTGTTGTCAGGTTCTTCAGCTCACAGATAAGCTGGCCATGAAAGAGAGAGATGAGCCACCGCAACAGCCTGTCGATGTTGTTGTTGTTGCGGCGGATCAGACAGGTTCCGAGGTGGTCTGCAAACAGGAAGACATGATCAGCTCTTCCAAGAGTGATACGTTCGATCCAGACCAGTCTGATGTAACACAGGAAGAGGGAGATAACTTGAGCAACAGCCTGTTACATCCTGCAGCTTCTTACATCTTCCCGAAACTGGAAGACGATGATTACTCCGACCCGCCTGCAAGTTCGTGTAGTTTTGGATTCCATGTTGAAGATCACGATTTCTGGTCTTCAGCTTATTAAGTTATACCATATCATATTCCTTGTATACATAAATAAACATATCATCTTGTCTGTGTATTATGTTTTCTTGTTTAAGTGTCTGTAAATGAGCCATCTTTCTCGTGAGAATTGTTGGAAACTGGAATCCTTACTTTTGGTTGCAACTTGTTTTATTCGTAGGGAAGAATCCAAAGCTGATGCAGAGAGATGGTTCAGTTTGATTTTAAAAATAAAACATCCCTTTCTTACTACTAAATTAGCTAACCTTATTTTCATATGTAATCTATGAAACGAGGAAGGTAAGGTAGTAGGAGGTTGAGAGCAGTTTTCTTAGAAGATCTCCGGCAGTCATAATTATGAGAGCAATTTTCGTAGAAGATCTCCGGCAATCATAATTATGAATTGTCTACCGTGAGACTCGATCTCATGATCACAAGATTAATACTCTTTCTTACTACTAAAATTAAAAATATAATTCTTTTGTCATTGAATAATAAAAATTTTATGAATATTAAATTATAAATTTATTTTTAAATTATGTTAGATTTAAAAAAAAAATTATAATTAAAATTTTATATGAAGTTTCGGGATTAATATAAAATTTTATTATTTCATTAAATCTTTTTATATTTTTAATTTTATAAAATATATATATATATAAATTTTATGAATTTAATTTTTTTAAATAAAATATATAAATATTTTTCAACTTATTAAAAAAATAAATATATAATAAATATAATTTGGTCAAATATACATTTCAATAATCTTTTATTTCTTTAATCAAACACGGTATTTTAACCAAACACGGTAATCTTACATTCCTGCTAAACCAACCAAACACAAAATATAACATTCGTAGTAATCTTATTCCGTGATAATCTTAAATTTCGTGAACCAAACGTACCCTAAAAATTTTAAATTTGAGCACCGTCTTTGTAAGAGCGTAGGAATGTTTGAATATTTATTGTGACGAAAAATCATTTCAATAAAAATTACAATCTTGTAATCACCTGACAGATAAAATTTCATGAAACTTGCATTTTGTGTAGTAAATCAAAGATGAACAATTGGGTTAGAATGGTAAAGAGTCCATTCTTTGGTTTACATAAGTTGTATGGTTTCATTATTACAACGCTCAAGTTTCGGTAAATATGTATTTAATATTTAAAATATCAATTTTGATCTATTTTAGTATTTAAAATTTTTATTTTTTTAATTATAATTAAAGTTTAGTTTTTGTTTTATTTTAGATTCATGCTGAAAAATTAACGTTAAATTTTGAAAATATTAAAAGTGTAGATACTTAAACGGGCTAAAATTGATAATTTAAATATTAAATATATTAAATTTTTAACGATGTATACTAAAATCAAATAAAAACTAATGATTATAGAAAAAATAAAAATTTAAATATTAAAATATATCAAAATTAATAATTTAAATATTAAATGCCTAGTTTACCCCTCAAGTTTCGTCTTCCTCTACAGTTTTTGTTGCTTTCATGGTGGAGTTACCCCTCAAGTTCTGATTTTTTTAACTTTTTAAGAAATAAATCTATATTCTAAATATGGAAAAAATAATTTTATATTAATATAGAATCAGAATTAAAGATTTTATATTTAAAAATTATTAAAAATAATTTTTATATAAATTTGAACTCTAATAAATTCACTATGTAGAAAACAATGGCTTTATTATTTAAATATATTAATTTTTAGGGTAAATTACGTATTTAATACCTAAATCATCAATTTTAACCCGTTTTAGTATCTAAACTTTTAATTTTTTCAAAACCACACCTAATATTTAATTTTTATTTCGTTTTAGTACTATACCGTTAAAAACTCAACGTGTTTAGTACCTAAACTTTCAAAAAAATCAAAACTTAGCATTAAATTTTGAACATAAGTACTAAAATGAAACAAAAAATTAAACTTTAGGTATGATTTTGAAAAAATTTGAAAGTTTAGATACTAAAACAGATAAAAAATGATAGTTTAGGTACTAAACCCATGATTTACTCTAATTTTTTATTTATAATTATGATATACTCAAAAAGATTATTTATCAAAATAGTATTGTAGGTAATTTAATTTCATAATTCATTATGCATTTTTGTGACAATTAAGCCATACGTTTGATAACTCATTGATAATACAATATAATATCGAGGCTCATCTCATCGTACCATATGTCAAGTGTTGATAAAATTAGATAACCTTCAAATTTTCGAATTAAATGTCGGTAATAAAGGAATTATTATTATTTCTTGAGATTTGAGTTCGAATACCAAAAATATCATAAATGTGAATGCATACAACCATAATAGTGCACGGAAGAAATTGAGAATATAAAATCACTATAACGGTTGTTTTGTTGATTCTTTTGACTATTAAAAGCTATAATATGATCACTTGATTATTAATTATGTTCTAAACTCATCATTTTCTGTTAAAAATTCGACGGTTTTCTGAGATGAATGTTAATTTGCAGTGAAATTATAAAATTTGATCACAGAATCTCAAACAACTATCGTATTCAGTTATCTCGATAACATCATAATATTTTTTTAATTAAATTAGCATAAAATCTTCAGCAAGGAAGAAAACATACACTTGATATATATTTTTGGCCAATTATCAAGATCCAGGTGTCCATATTTCTAGAATCACTGTGGTCGACCATCCAAAACCACATCAGGTAGGGCTTCAATCGATTCCACCACGTGTAGGGTTCAGATTAAACGTCATACTCTTTTGTCAATCCACCATATGGAGCCATCGCCATCAAAGAGAATCTCCACTGCTTAGTGCTCCACCCAGAACAAGCAGCTGTCCTGACACGTGGCACCTGATCCCTGATTTTTATTTGTCAAAACATAATGGGTCCCACTCCCTACATCAACTACAATCTATGTGTTCTTAAATTTTGGCTTAATTTTCAAATAACTGTCCAAACTATCCCTTTTAGGTGCACAGATCATCAACGCCGTTAGTTTTTCCGTTAAGTGGCACCAATACCTAGTAATTTTAAAAATTTTATATAAAATTTTTTAAAAAATAAAACTATATATTTTAAAAAAGAAAAACATAAATTTTGAAATAACCCCTAAACTTTAAAAACTTTCATTTCAACCCTTAAATCCACGTCGATTGTCGCCCTTTACCGTCGAAGAAGTTCCACCCAGGCTCCCCTACCCCCGATGACTGTAACCCCTATGAAATCGTGACTGGTTGATAATCAATTGACCAAAAATCAACATTTAAATCTCACAAATCCTATGATGAAAATCATGATCTCACACGATTTCGATGGTGAATTAGCAACAACTACGACGACATATAACTAGAATGATGTCAAGGCCTACGTCGGCGATGACAGTAATGGCTGGATAAGGCGCCAGCGGAAGATTAAGGTTAAGATTTAGTATTTTGGGCCTTTTTTATAATATAAGAAAAGTTATGTTTTTTTTTATAAACATAATAATATTTTTTATAAAATAAATTTCAAAATTACCAGGTGTTGACACGTGGCATATGCACCTAAAATAGTAACGTTACTAAAATAGTAACGTTACAAACGTTAGGCACCCGGATAGATCAAAAAAGCCGTAGGCACTTATTTGGCAAAAAAACATAGTTTGGTCACTTATTTGGGCATTAAGCCTTAAATTTTAAGGTAAGTATACAAATTGGTTCTTGATAATAAGATATTGTTACTTGATTTTTCTTATTATTGAAAGTTATAAAATAGTTTTTTTTACTATATAGTGTTGTTTTGTTGAGTCCCTCAATTATTGAAAGTTACAAAATGGTCATTTGACTATTCATATGTTCCAAGCTCGTTATTTTTCGTTAGAAAATTGACAGTAGTCTGAGCTTGTCGTTAATATGTTGATTGAGATATGATAAAATTGAACTTAAAATCATAAACGACTATACAACTGAAATGGTTATGGATTAGATTTTATTATATCTCAATCAACAAGTTAACGTCAAGCTTAGACGACTGTCAATTTTTTAACAAAAAATGCCAGTTTGTAATATATGAATACTTGAGTGGTTATTTTGTAACTTTTAATAGTCGAGTGACTCAACAAAGTAGTTCCCTATAGTTGAGAGATCACTTATATATTTTACCCTAAATTTTAAATTGAATAATTATTTACAATATATTTTTCTTAATTGCACTAAATTCAAATAGTATTATTTAAATTGATTTATTTTAAGAGTAAATTACAAATTTTATCACTTTACCCTTTTCTTATTCTTATTTTGGTCATTAAAATTTAAAACTTTTAATTTACCTACTGAACTTTCGATTTACTCATATTTTGGTCGCTCTGGTGTTAAATCTTAAATGAAATGATGACATGTCAAATGTTTGTGTTAAGGTAGACTACTTTTGTTTGACATGGAATTCATGTGCTATTCACATCATTTTCTTTTATCTTCTTCCTCCAAAATAAAAGTTTTACAGTTTCATTCTTGTGTCACGTTAGCGCTGCAATTATCATTCTTTAGCTTTTTCTCTGATTAATCAAGATATTGACGAACTCATTTCATTGTCTCCTACCACTCTATCAGTTTAGATTTTACCCAAATCACCTTAAAACTTATAAAATTCAATCCTAAACCAAAAACTTATGAAACCCTAAATCACTTTGATATATAATATTCACCATTTGGTTGATATGGAATCAATATATATAACTCGCTTCCTCCTTCACCCCCCAATGTTGAGATTTTGAAGAATATGCTTCATTATCGAGAAATCAAAGGAAATTTAAAACTAGAGTTTTTTTCATAAAAATAAGAAAAATTTGAGGTCATTTCATAATTTTAAAAAGAAAATTATCTAGTCATAATGTCGTTAAGTATTTAACGGTAGAGTGATCAGAATAGAAGTAAATTGAAAGTTTAGTGAATAAATTGAATTTTTTAAAAATTTAATGACTAAAATTAGAGAGAGAAATTTGAGTGGTGAAATTAATAAATAACCGTTTATTTTATTAAATATTTATTATAGTTACAAATATCAATTTTTAAACTAATTTAATTTAAATAATATTATTTTTCAAATATATAATGAATCTAGGGTAAACTACGGGTTTAGTACCTAAAATATCACTTTTGGTATGTTTTAGTACCTAAAATATCAA